CCTGCCACCGTCTACCCATCCACCTGCTGCATAGCTCACATTCCTAGCCTGATTTTCTATTAGAACCCATTTGCATCAGACCCCTCCACTGTTCAGAGTCCCATTCACTCCAGCCTCCTCAAAGAGATCACTTCTGTAAGGATTTTATATTTTTGCCTGCATCTCTTTTCACATTTTCTTGTAGGACTCCCATTCAACATAATAATAGTATCTATCTCAAAGGGAAAAAAAAAAAGCTCTTTTTAATTTCACACACCTTCTTAGAAAACCATTTTACCCCTTCCTCTCTTCGCTAGCAAATCTACTAGAAATAGTTGTGTTTCCTCACTTTCAACTTCCTTGGGTGCATTACCTGCCTCCCTACCTCTGCAGCAAAGTTTCTTTTATCAGCATGACCACAGTTGTGCCTGGCATTAGTGACATATATATTTTCATTTTATTTAACCTCTCAGTGAATCTGAAAATATTGTCTGAATGTTGCTTCACTTGGCCTTGGCAACCCCCCAGGTGTTCATTCCTAAAACAAGCTGGGTCCTCATTTCCCTTCCCCTTTGTTGGTGAAAGCTAGACTGAAATGCACTGACATAGAGAGCTCGCTAATACATAGAGCACGGCTCACCAGAGCTGAAGGACAGCTATTAATATTCTACTTTTCAGGACTCCCAGAAGGCAAGAACCAAGAGAATTGCAGAAAATAATGGCAGGAAAATTTTCATGTCTGCTGGCTGCTTCAGGCAACCTCCTGGCCTTTGACAGTGGATGTCAAGCCTGGAGCTTTCTAAAAGGACTTCCACATTTCAGTACACAACATGAGGTAACTGGATGCAGGTAGTTTGCTTAGGAGTTTCTTACCATAATTTTGAAAATTAAATGATTAAAATTAACCCAAGGTGACCCATGACTGTTGACGGAAAGAGAAAGACAAAATTAAGAAATAGTCATGCCTTGGGTTGTGGGATGTATTAGCTACCTAACAAATTTATTGCTGCGTAACAAATCATTCCTGAAAATAGTTGCATAGTATCTAAGGAGCGGGGATCTGGATGTGCCTCAGATAAGTGATCTGTCTCCGAGTCTCTCCTGAGTTGTGTTATGAGAACAACTTCCATGAGTTGGGGGAGGCCATTACACAGCTGTGGGATGTGACTGCTGTAAGGGGACAGAGAAAATGTGTTTAGAACAGCATTTCTTACACTGTCCTGTGGGATACTGGTTTCCCAACATGCTCCTTCTCAAGAGGCTTCTGTGATTCAAAAAGAATGGGTGTAGGGTACAACTTGGCATGACAGCAGCCATCTTGGCCATAACTTCACCCCAAGTCTTGTGTGACAAAGTCATCTGGCAGTCAGCTGGGCATTTTGTGTTGCCGCTGACACCTGGACTACGTTATATGTTACTTGACACTGGGCATGTTAGATTTTGGGAAAGAACAGGTATATCCTGGTTGGCCGTGGCACATCAACCCCTCTTCCCACCTTAGGATATGAGGATGCACTTGTCCTGATGTCTCTTAAAACACTCTGTCTGTGAGGTTTGCCTCCATTTGATGTTCACAGCTCAGTTGTAGCACACACTCTGAAATGTCACCACAACCCTATATCCATAGTGCTGAAGCCTGAAAGCTCTGTAAGTGACAAGTTTGAAAAACTCATCTGGTGAGACAACCTACCTGAAGCTGATGGTGATTTTCAAATTCTCCTAAGAGTGTCTCTTCACACATTTTGCTGCAAACTCTTTGGTACTTGAATACAGTGCACTGCCCAGATTCTGCTGGGAATATACACACTTTCTAAAGTGTGAAAAATGCAGAATTGCAAGACAGACCTGGCTGGCCCCAAGTATTGAAGGAAAGGAGCCCGTCAGATGTCATATGTCATCATCTCAGATGCTTTCACCTGTGCTGCACCATTCATGTCCATGACAGGTCTGCAAGGCAAGCAGACCCCACGGATTACAGAGTTGGGAACTGAGGCTCAGGGCTGTTTGACTTTTCTAAGACCTGGAGGCAGGCACAGCCAGGCACTGAACTCAGGCTGTGCTTGAGATTGTTCCACTGTGCCAGACCTACTTGTGTGGGTCTGTCTCGTAGACTGTGGGCTCATCCAACACAGGGGCCTGTCTTCCTTTTATTCTCTAAGATTCAGCCCATAATGGGTATTGTGCCTCTTATAATCTGTGAGCAAGTCTTACACGAAAGATAGAATTTGCACCACAGCACAATTAAAAGCCTCAATTTTGAAGAAGACAGCAAGGGCTTTGAGGACAAGTGAATTTCTAATTCCAGATCTGCTGCTTGCATGCTGGTTTCCCTTAAGCAAGTTGCTGAACTTCTCTGTGCTTTGGTTTTTTTAGCTGCAACAGGAGAAAAACCATTAAAAAGGGATATTATAATAATTGAAGGAGAAGTACGTAAAATAAATCATTCAGAAATGGGTGTTGTAAGAGAGTTCCCTATTTGGTAAATTCAGCAGGTTGAAAAAATGGATTTTAAAAAAGACCTGTGACACTTCTCCCTCAAAAAAGATTCATTGCCTCATGTCCATAAGTTTATTCACTCTGTCCAGCTAACATTTGTTATTTTTTTATAGGATTGTCTGATTTAGAGTCTGTAAAATCTTTGTTCTTACAGAGCTTATTTTATTCATTTCTTCACATCAGCTTACTTTGTCATTACTTCGCTTACCAACTTTCTCAGCCCCCCTTCAGCCTCAGTGACTGTTTGACTTTGAGGGAAACTAGAACAGGAAGGGGGCCAGGAGGAAAGGGACATCACAGCTGAGAATGCAGGCAGGTTGGAGAGGTGGTGGCAGCTGTCAGAGGTGTTGCATGCCGGGCTGGCCTCAGTTCACTGTCCCTGTCCCCAAGCCTCCCTGGACTCCTGCGGTGCACAGGCCAGCCTGGGGAGGGGACACCATGGTCTTTATTGTAGCCCTCGCTTCTCATCCACACCTGACAAGGCAGAGGCACTTGATTCAACTCAGAACCAGGGAAACCTCACCATTTCTAGCCACACGTCTCTCCATCCTTGTCTATTCCCCAAAGCCTGGTGTGCAGGGGACCTCAGGTGTGACATTTGTCATCATTAACTTCAGTCCACACTTTCTGGCCTTCCTCCTGCCTGCACCGCAGTGGCTTCCCTTCCTGTTTTACAAACCTTTTCTCTCCTTTTTGCTCGGTGGCCCCCCTGCCACATCAGGAAGAAAGAAACAAATAAAAAAGGAGAAAGGGGAGCAGGAGGGAAGGGAGGGAGGAACCCCAGGCCATTGTGACTCACCACAGACTTTTGCCAAAGCTGAAAGTAGCAGGATGTGCCAGATAGAAATGGAAAATGCGGCGGGAAGGAGGGGCACGTTTTGCTTTAGGAGAGGGGACATTGCAGCGATGATGTCATTCTGCTTTATTTGCTCCTCTTCTCCTTGATTTTAGGGAGGCAACACAAAGAAAGCCTGCGATCCATGTCTCACTACATGTGCTATGTTACCTGTGTGTGTGTGTGTGTGTGTTACTGTGGATTGAACTCAAGGCCTTGCACTGTCCACTTCCTATCTGGACAAACACTCAACACTCAAGCCACACCCCCAGCCCTTTTGCTTGTAGTTTTTTGTTTTTTTTTTCAGATGAAGTTTCATGCTTTTGCCTGGGCTGGCCCCAGACTGTGATCCTCCTACCTCTGCCTCCTATATAGCTGGTATTATAGACATGAACCAACATGCTCAGCTTGTTCATTGAGATAGGGTCTCACTAACTTTTTGCCCTGGCTGGCCTAGTCTACAGTCCTCCAACCTATACATCCTGTATAGCTGGGATTGCAGAGGTGCACCACCACACCTGGCTTGTTTTTTGAGATAAGGCCTCACTAACACTTTGCCCAGGTTTGCCTCCAGCCCTGATCCTCTTACCTCTGCTTCCCAAGTAGTTGGGATTACAGGCATGGGCCACTGTGCTTGGTTCCACTTTATTACCTTTCTAAAACTTGAAAATTCCAGAATTCTGAAACAACCATGGACCCAGGAATGCAGGAGAATTTCCTTTACTGGCCTTCTTGTTATGGCCACTGTCCATTCCATAACCAGGGATTCCAAGACCTCATGACTACCCCTCTTTCCACTCTTGCTGCCCTCCAGTCTGTTCTGAGCACTGCAGCTGGAGCAATGGTTAAAATCAAAGTCAAACCAAGCTGCTCCTGTGTCCAAAACTTGCCAGTGGGGAGGAGCCAGGATCTTTTAGAGACCCACAGAGGCCTCTATGTCCTGCTCCTACCTCTCTGACATCAGTCCTGGGCTGTCCCTGAACAGGCTAGGGAGGTGCTCAGCATTCCTGCCTCAGGGCCTTTGCACCTGCTCTTTCCTCTGCTTGTTACTCTTTTCTCCCAGATACCTGAAGTCTAGTTACCTCATGTAGGTCACTCCACACTCAAATCGTATTTTCTAGTGATGTTTTGAGGGACACTCACCTGATCAGTGCTCCTTTCCCTTAGCTCTTACCAACATGCATTTCAAAATTATTGTATGATAGCAGTGATTTTGTTTCTTTTTGGACCCTGGAACAATTTTTGTTGAATACCTTTAGCCTTTTTTCTGAGATATTGCTTCATAAGAACCTTTAATTATAATCTCCTTTTGTTTGTTTTTGGAGACAGCATCTCACTATGTAGCTCAGTCTGACCTGGGACTTGCAGTCCCCCTGCCTCAGCCTCCCAAGTGCTGGGATCCCAGGTGTCGGCTACCATGCCCGCTTTCATTCCTGTTTAAGAATCAGTACTGAATTGTGGCTGCCATGTTATCACATGGGAACTCCTATCTCCAGGTTAAAAATAAAATGACTACCTACATATGTGTGGATGTGTACATTTGAGGGTCACTGTCAGTCACTGCGTATCACATGTTTACATATGTACATACCTTGCTGTTTCAGAGGTCTGTTCCAGTGTTGCTGTTACTGATTCTGAACCCCAGTGCTGTCAGAGACCTGTCTGTAATCCCATCCCATTCGTCCCACAGGGTGGACTCAGTGCCCAAGCATTTGTCCGTGTGGAGCTGGAGGATGTGAACGACAACCGCCCTGTGTTCAACCCGCCAACCTACGTGACAAGTATCAGTCGGGAGGCCCAGCCTGGTACCGAGGTCATCAGTGTTCTCGCCAGTGACAGGGACTTGGGGGTATACGGAACAGTGTCTTACGAACTCCTTCCGGGAGACCTGTCGTCCCATTTTTCCATTGACTCCACCACAGGTACGTGATCAGAGGACACTTTTCAGCCTTTGGACCTTAAACACAACAGCTGGAAAATTAGTAGAAGTGATTTTTTTCAGTAGCAGTAGTGTTGCAAGATTGTGCTTTCCAGAGGGCACAGGCATGTTTGCAAAGCACCTTTTTTGTTCGCTGATCCCTGAATCTGAGTCCCCACTTTGCCTCCTACTGATCTTGTGACTTTATTGACCCCAGTTTCCCCATAGTGCTAATAATATCTGTGTCACAGTGAATTACGCAGAAGCATTAGCCAGTGGTATTTCCTTGGCCTATGCTCAACTCCCTTGCTTTGTAGGAGTGTGCAGCCCAAGGGCAACTTGACGTCATGTCAATGCTTAATAGATGATATTAACACAGAGATCCAATAGATGTCTTTCTGTACAGCATTTCCTTCAACTTTGAGGTCTATACTTTATCTGGTATTTCCTTATGCTTTTCAGTCTATACTATGTCTGGTATTTCCTTAATACTTTTCTGCTTTTCCCTTCTTTCTAAAGTGATATCTAGAGCTCCTTTCATTTCTCTAACATGGTAATTATGTATCTGCCTAAGAAACCCTGTAGGCACATGGAATCATCTAGAAACAAGACATATTTAAGAGATTACCTTCACTTTCCTGTTGATTTCTTGCTAACAAAATAATGTTTTAAATATCCCACTCCAAGAAAACATGATATTTCAAGGAAACAGTATTCTATTACAATACTCTTGAGATACGCAGAGATACTCTGGTCCAAAAATGAAGGTACAAAAAAGAGAAAAGAACATTCTTCTTTTACATTTCTTCACTTGATCTGAGAAGTGGACAGAATGTGGTGATTGGTATGGTGATGACTGTGCCAGTCCAATCTAAGGCTAGACATTGTATGCTGTCTCTTGGGATCTTCACAGTCCCTTTGCCTTGACCATATATATCAGTAACAGTTCAAGCAGAAAATGTTATCCACACAGCTAGTTTGCCTTTTCTCTTGGCCCCACTAGGTAGAGCCTGGTGAGGGTGCTTCATCTGGCTGTGGGAAGGGACAGGGAGCTGGGGGAGATTAGTTATTTACACAATTTTCTTTGCTCCAAACAATCCCCTGATGTGGCCCCTTTAACATTTCAAAGATCAGAAGAAAATACTTTTGTAGGAAATTAGTCTGCTTATCTTGGCTTTTTCAAAATTCCTCTTTACTAAGGACCTTAGCTGCCTGTCAAGTCATAGGCCCTGTAGGGCACTAGCGTTGCCAAAAATATATAGGTCAGCCCGTAATCAAGGTCTGGGATCTAAAAGCCTATAGCAGAATGTTTGTAAAAGGCATCAACACACTCATCCGGTTTTCCCTGGAAGAGCTTGGAGAATGAGCATTCTACACTGTTTTCAGAAGAGATCTCCGTCACTGTCCTGGCCATGGTCAGCCCCACGCGTCCCTTCCTGGCTCTGACAACAAGACGAATGCCACTGGTAATCACAGAGAGCACTTATGTGGCTGTTATCTAGGGGAGCATCATGTAATATTTCTCCTTAAAGCAAAGACCAAACTCATAATGGAAATCGCCTTGGGTTACTATTGCTGGCAGTTCTGATGCCGGTGGATTTAGATGGGAGAAGTTTTTCAGGCAAACAGTACTTAGAATTTGATTGCTCTTAATAACAAGTATGAGCAATTCTGTGAGTTCTGGGAATGCTTTACTTTGACCTTCGAAGGAGAATGAAAGAGTGTCATGACTGGCTCTGGGGAAAGGTGGTCCAGGAAATAGCCAGTCTCCAATTTGAACAGCTGAGTTTGGAGTTCTTTTGTGGAAACTGAGAACTGACCTTGTGTATATTTTGGGTGAACTGGTGGTGTTTTGATGTATGTATACACTGTGAAAGGATGAAGTCAAACTCCATAACATCCATCACCTCACTTGCTTATAATTTTTGTAGTGTGGACATTTAATATCTTCTGGCTTAGCACTTTTCAAGCATGGAGATTTGTTAATAATCAGTTACCATGTTGAATAATAGATCTTCAGAACTTACTGATCCTGTTTGATTGAAACATCCTTTTGATCAGTTTCTCCTATTCCCCCAATCAACCACCATTCTACTCTCAACATCTACGAAATCAACATCTTTAATTCCACATATAAATGAGACCAGGCTTATATGTGTATGCCTGGTTTATTTCATTTAACGTCATTTCTTCCAGGTTTATCCATATTGAAGCGAATGACAGAATATCCTTTTAAAAGGTGAAACAGTATTCCATTGTGAATATACCACATTTTCTTTATCCATCCACTGATAGACACTTTGGCTGGCTCCCTATCTTGGCTATTGTGAATGATGTTGGAATGAATAAAGAAGTCCAGGTGTGTCGTTGACATACCAATTCATTCCCTTTGGATATAAACCCAGAAGCAGGTTTGTTATTTTTAACTTTTTGGAGACTCTTCATACTGTTTTTCGTAATGGCTCTGTCACATGCTATAAGAATGTTCTCAAGGATAGAACAAGAGTAGTAGTGAAATGTACCTCTCCTCTTGGGTTATGATTTTAGTAATTACATAAAGTTGGGCTTTCTGGCTTCACGACTGGGCCTGTTTCTACCATAGCTGCCAGTACCCAGTATCCACATAGTTCTAAGAAACTGCCTGGATCAATAAGTATTTGTAAAGGCTGGAGGTGTGGCTCAAGTGGTAGAACATCTGCCTAGCAAGCCTAAGTTCCTGAGTTCAAACCCCAGTACTGCCCCAATTTTTTTGTACAACAAATGAATAAATAATGTCTATAAATAACTGGAAAGTGATTTAAATCCTCACTAAAGTTGCATGGGCTTTTCATTGATAACATGAACCAAAACTTAATTTAATATTGTCTTTCTGCATCCCAGAAAGGCAGAAACTCAGCATGGCAGGTGGCCCTTTGACTTCCTCCTACTTCAAAACTCCCTACAAAACCTCATCAAAAGTCCCTGAAACTTCTCTGGCTTATCTGTGCTGACACTTCATTTTTTTCCCTCTCCTTCCTCTGTCTTTGGATTTATTCTTTTCTCTTCCAGAATGACATAGGTAATTTTTCAAACTAGCCTCAGTGCCTTTTAATTATTCTCCCTCCTTTTCACCTAAGTTCTTCTGTAGGCAGGTAGAGGAGAAATAGTTCTGTAGTGTGGTAGTACTGGGACTTGCTGAGCGAGCCATCCATCCATTCTCACTTCCTCCTGGAATGTTCTAACATCTTTCTTAGTGACATTCACTTCTTTACCACGGCTTCATTCCTCCTTTCATATGGGTTATTTCTGTACCGGACATGCTATTTTAAAGCTTACATAATTTCTGAGGTAGGCTCATGTTTTCCTGAAAACTAGAGATTGTTCATTGATCTGTCTGTGCCACACAACCTAGATTCATGTGTTTAAAAATAGAGCTCTGTGACTTACTGTATTCATCTGGTAAAAACAATGTTTTGGAGAAAACTGGAAGGGGGTGTGGTGAAGTCATGGTTGTTTTCTCTTGTGGGTTTATCTTCCTGTTCTCTTTCTGTTTCTGGTTTTCTAAGTTTGTTGTTGATTCAAAGAACATTTTTGTCAAATGCGTGTAGGCACCAGGAGAGAGATACTGACTAGGGCCTTCGTTTCTCTTATTCTCAGTCCATTGACTTGCTTTGATGTGGGCACGGAGCAGACCACATTGTTTTGATTTTTAAAAGGAAGAAACACAAGGAGCACATTTATTAATAGCTCTTTTCATCTATTTTTAATCCCACTTTATAAATCACACGTAGATTGGCCCTCCATTTTTGAAGTGCTCTCTGTATTTAGTAGCGTTAAAAGGGAAGTTCTTTACCTTTTCAGTTTGTCCTTATCATTTAGTAATTTTGCACTTGACTTCTAATTCAGATATTTTAAGATGACAAATAGGTTTCAAGCACTTAGGTTTGGCATTTTTTGCTACCTAAAACTGCCTCTTTTTTAGGGCTACCTTTGATTAAATTCTTGTGATTTACATTTTTTTATGGAAGGAAATTAATGATATAAAGATAGAGGTGGCTCGTGGCACAGTTGGTAGTGCACTGGACTTCTAGTGACAAAAGACAAGTCAGTAAAAATTCTAAAAAGTGTGTAGCTTATCAATTCAAGGCAGAATTCAGTGCTTATTCAGTGCTCACTGTGGACCAGGCACTGTTGTAGGTGAATATTAAGCTTAGAATAATTGACTATGTGAACTAAGCCATTGCCTGGTCTATGTTTAGTTGTGATAAACCCAAAATTCAAGTTTAGCACTAAAGAAGAACAGGTAATCAATGCCACACAAGACCAGCCAGGCCTTGCTGTTTAGTTGTGTTCTTTTGTTGGTATGGGTTGTGTGTATTTGAACGTGAACTATAAGTAAAATGTAGCAGAGACTGTTTTCTTTATTTCAAGGGCAGATTCTTTCCTAATGTTAGTTTTATGCTCAGATTTCATATCATGTAATGATTCTCATAATTCTTCATGATCGCCACTTTCCTCTGCTTAACATTTGGCATTCTGCTGTGTAGTTAATAAATTAATACCACACCTCGTTTTATAAAGGATGTGAGCCTGCTTGTGCCAAATAAATGATGACTTTTTTCTATTTGCAAGACAGAGTCTGAAATTAATCATGAGCACCCTAATAAGTATGTATGTGATTTTCAAAGGAACCAAAAGCATGTTAGAGAATTTTCTCATGTGCTTTTTCAACACAAGGTCATAGACTCAGTGAGGTGGAAAGAACCTTCCAAATCAGCCGCCTCATTTCGTGGAGGGAGAAATTGAGGCAGAAAGCGATTTGGAGATTTGCTGACAGATGCAAACAGGCAGTATTTGGGAAAGATGTTTAAGGTTACGTCTCACATAATAATATTTTAAACTTTTACCTTTTCCAATACATCACCTATTTGAGTCTTACATCAGCTTTATGAGATAAACAAGGCAGATACTTTGATGTTCGTCTGCAAATTAAGTGGCTGAATACCCTATGAGTCTTCTTTGGGT